TCTGTCCCCTGCCAGTGCCCCTGATGCGCACCTCCAGCCACCGTGGCTGAGGCTGAGCCTGGGAAGGGACCGGAGTGGGTCTGGGAGGTGGGCTGTGTGGGGCAGGGGACGCCCCGGGGCCCCCAGCTCGCGGGCCCCCTTGAGGAGCCTGTCGCGGAGGGCGGACGCTCCTCACGGAGACGCAGTCCCCGACTCCCGGGTGCCCCGCTGCGCCGCCACCTCACGGCCTCAGAGGAGAGCTGCACTTTGGGGCCGCGTTTCTGGCCACCCACAGCTTTTCGTGCTCTCCAGCCGGGGCGCCTGGGGAAGAACAAGATGGGCTCCAGGAGGCGCTCCCGCTGCCGGCCAGGAGGGGCGCTGCCCCCCAGCCGGGGCCCCTGCAGAGGCGCTGGAGCCCGCGGGGCAGAGGGGCGGCCCCCGTGATCCGCAGCAGGTCCCGGGGGCGCGCAGGGGGTGGGCTGAGGGTCGGATGGCCTTCCCTGTGTCCCTTTCTCTCCCTCTTGGCCCTCCACCCACTGACCCCCAGGCCCCAACCAGCCCGCACCCCCATATCATGCCCGCTTCTTATCGGAGTTCTGCCCTCGACCCTGCCCCCGGCCCGGCCCGCTCTCCCCTGCGCCTGCCCCTCTCGGCCCCGTGGGCCTCTCCCTGTGATCTCCGTCTCCATCTGCCCCTCCCCGGGTCTCCCTCGCTGCCTGGCCCTGTCCCTCCTTCCTGTCTTCGTCCTCCCTTCCCCACTCGACCCGCAGTTCGAGGCGGTCGCCACCTTGCAGGAGGCTCAGCTGGCTGTCCACGGTTTTGGCATTCGGGATGGGAGCGGCAGTGGCGGTGGGGACGGGGGTGACAGAGAGCAGCAGCAGCAGCAGCACCAGTGGACACCACATGGCCAGGCGGGGCTGGGGAAGGGGGCGGAGGGGACAGGTGGGCGGTCGGAGGCCCCGCGCTTTGCCCCGACACCGCCTGCCAACCTGCCCACCCCGTCCTCGACCCCTCCGCCGCCTCCCGCGTTCTGGGCCCGTCGCCCCAGGGGCCCGGCCCTCACGCTCAGGCCTCAGTCACACTTCGCCTGCCACAGCGCCGTCGCCGGCCTCGGGCTCCTCCGGGACTGTTGGATACAGTTGCTTGCGGGGGGAGCTGCCCCTGGAGCTCGGGACGCAGGCTCGCGCTCAGGCCACGCCCACTCCGAGCCACGCCCACCGTAACCACGCCCACCGTAACCACGCCCACCACCGCTCCCCCCGCCCCCTCATTCCAGGGCACAGCCACGCCCCCACCCTCCAACCGCAGCCCCGGAGTCAGGACCCACCGCCCCCTGGACCTGTCCCCGCCACTGCAGGCTGCGCCCCCAAGCCGGAGCCGCCTGTTTGTGGAGCGAGTCCCCGGAGACCCGCCCCCAGCCGGGGTGGAGCCGCGGGCATCCGAAGCCCTGCGCGTGGGGGTCCCCGGGGGCGGGGTTGCGCAGCCCCGCCGGCGCCCCCCTGTTCGGCTCCCTCTGCCAAGGCCCGGGCCGGACGGACGCCGGGCGGGCCCCCGGGCACGACTCGGGATGGAACAGGAACAGTGCGCGAGCTTCCGTCCGCGGGCGTCAGGGCGCCTGGCCCTGTCTTCGGACCCCACAGGCTTGAGAGGGCGGTGTGGAAAGTTCACGGGCCCCACGCCGAGCAGTGGCAACTGTGGGGATGGAGTGGGGCACCTCACGCTCGGGTCCCCACGTCCGCCGGCCCAGGCGACCCGCGCACACTTCCCCGCGCGGTGGAGCACGAGAAGGTGGACACGGCCCAGCGCGCTCAGTCCGCGCCGTCCCCGCGGCCGAGCCCACGCCCCGTGAAGGGCTTCATTGGTTCCGGCGCGAAGTCTCAGTTAACGGGCCCCGTCGCTCCGGTTGCGCTGTCACCTGTGCCTCGAAGATCACCTGGAAACTCTTAAATATGCTTTTCCATGAGATCAAACTCACCGTCGTACTTATGTGCCTCAAAGAAAGGTCACCTCTGCGACAGGGGAACGTGGCCCCCGGAACTCAGACACGTGAACTCGAGAAAATGCGAAACGTTCGCACACGTCAGTTTTATTGAAGAGGCAGTTCAGACCCACTCACACACGCAAAGGGTGGGGCGACCAAATCCGTAACGGCGCGGGGATTTCAGGTGTTTCACTTAAAATACACGTTACAGGAATCAAGCTTTCCCGTCGCAGGGCAGGAAATCTCAGTAGTTTCAAGAAGTCTAGTAGTAGAACTACTAGGGTATTTCCTGCACGGAATTACGCAAACTCTACCGCCGAACTCTGTTCCGCAGCAGGCCCGTACCCACGCAGGAAACGGCGGCAAGAGCGCTGAGCAACAAAACGGCAGACGTTCGTGATTTCAACGACTTTTTATGGAAGAGTAACACACGCGGGACGCACACCCCTCGCGCGCACAGCACACCCACATACTGGGCACCCGGATTTCAAACAGCCTGTCACCGGCACCGGTGGGCCCCCCTCCCCAGCCTCTGCCGAGGCTGACCGCCATCCTGACTTCTGACCGCGTAGACACGTTCTGCGTGTTCTTATCACGCACGATGTTCACTTCGGCCTGGACTCTCCGCTCGGCACGGTCTGCGGTCTGCGAGGTCGAGCGGTGTGACCGCCGGCCCGGCCCCCTCGCTCCGGTGTTCTCGGCAGAAACGCGCCGCTGCGTGCGCGCCTGCGGACGGCTCTGGTCTCCGCGTCTTACACGCACATCCCAGGACACGCTCCTGTGCTGGGCACGGACGGACGAGCGTCTCCGCTGGGTCTGGCTGAAAGCGCGTGCCCCTGGCTTCCCCAGGGGGTCCTGTGGGCGGCACCGGCTGCAGCACGTTTCCTGCCGAAACTTGATGCTTTTCAGTGCTTTTCATTCTAACCATCTCGGCGGGTGGGTGGTAGTACCACATGGCACTTTAAAAAATTGCATTTTTCTTGATTACTGATAAAATGAACCTATCTTTTCGTGCTTGTGGGCCATCCGAATATCCTCTCTGGTGAAGTGGGTGTCCACGTCTTTGAACCGTTTTCTAATTTTGTTGATTCGTGGATGTGCTCTTTTTTTTTTGCTTTCGATCAGGAGATCGGCAGCCGTGGTCAGTCGAGACTGCCCCCTGTTGGTGAGGTTCTGCTGGGACGCGGCCGCGCGCACCTGCTCGCTCGTCCTGCACGGGGCACAGGGGGCCCGCCCGGCAGCGGCAGAGCTGGGCGGCTGTGACAGAGGCCGCCCGGGCACGCAGCCCAGACGCTCACCACCCGCCCCTGCACTCAGGTCTCCAGGCATGGGGTGACCCGCACGTCCTTCTCCGCCCTGCGGCCTGCCTACTCTCTTCCTTCATGGTGTCTTTCTTGGTCAACGGAAATGAATGTGTTTCAGTTTATCGTTCGGTGCTTTTTGAGACTCAAGAGAACTTTGTGTACTGTAAGGCGACAGTCTACGTTTTCTTCTAATAGCTTTATTATTTTTCATGTCATATTTAGATCTGCATTTCATCTCTTCTGTTAAATCATGGAATATAACGGACAGAGCGTTTATGGGAAAGAACATGTTTCCCAGGTTACACTGCGTTGTCATCCTCACCGCCAACTGAAGGCGTCACGGATGGGTGTTTCTGGACGCACCCTCTGCCCGCCCTGGTTCACCTCCACGCCGGTGTCCCACCCCCGTAACTTCGTAACAGGCCTGGACGTGTGTACATGCAAGTCCCCTTCCCCTGCCTGTCCTAGCAGACGGCCTTGACTACTGCCAGCCGTTTGAATTTTCACGCTGGTTTTAGAATGAGCTAAAGTTCATAAGGACCTTAATATTGTCTTGAATATACGAATTTGAGGAAAACTGACGTCTTTTAAAGAATTGTGCTGGAATCCACAAACTAAACATGTTTAATAATTGTTTCTTTTTTAATTTGAAAATACGGTTAAGTTTTTCCCGAGGCACTTGAGGATTTTTGATGCTATTATAAGAGACATTGCTTCTGAATTTTTCATTTTCTATGTTCACTGCTGATATATTAACACAAGTTTTCCATAATGAACTTACATGCATACACCTTGCTAAATTGACTCATTAATTCTAATTACCTGTATAACAGTCAGGATTTTCTATGCACAAACCATGCCATCTGCAAATGAAAACTTTACTTCATCCTAAACCTTATGTCTTTTGATGATGTTTCTTCCTCCACTTTCCTGGCGAGGTCCATCTGCACAACATGATATAAAATTAGTCCTAGCAGACATCCTTGTCTATTTTTTTTTTTTTGGTCTTGGGAGAAAACTTTCAATACTCCACTCCTAGGAATGCTGCTGATTGTAGCTTAAGATACGCTTCACACGATTAAAGAGGCTCTTGTCTCTGCACAGCGGGCGGAGAACACGGGAGGGGGTGGTTTCGCCACATCAGTTTCCCGCCACTACGTCCCTTTCCTCTCGTGACGTGCTACGTCTTTGATGACTGAAACGCCTCCCGCTCCTGGGGTAGAACACACTGATCACTGGGAGCCCGGGTGGGGTCAGGGAGCCACTGTGACAGGTACTTGGCACTCGGAACGGAATGATCAGGGTTGGTTTGGACGAACTGGGGCTTGCCCTCTAAGTCACGTGAAGAAATGACAGGCACGAAACCCTTCCGCCGAGGAAAGGGGAGAAAGGACATCGTGTTGATCAAAAGTGTCTGCAAGACTTGTATTAATTTGTTCCAAGATACTGGAAATAAGGGGCAGCACCCAAAACGACACCCCTGTATTCCCATGAAATAAAAGCACAGATCCAGCAAAGCACTTTCTGGATCACCTGGTCCTGGCACGCTGCCCAACCAAACTCAGGGGCTGACCCCGAGAGTGGCCTCAGGGCGGGCGCAGCCCGCAGAGCGGGAGCAGGACAGCTGCCCGTATCGCTGACACAGACTTAGTTCCACACTGTCCACAGTTCATGAAAATAGTCTGTTTTAAAATATATTTTTTTGCTCAAATGTAGTTGAAAAATACAAACATCGCTATTAATGAGGCATTTATTAGAAACTCATTTATAAATACCTCTAAAGAATAGAAAACTATGCATTTAGTTATTTTGTACCCCCCAAACATCTCATCAACGCTCTGCCATCTCGTCATGCAAATAAGACCACTGCCTCCTCACACACGACTCCGCCCCAGGGTAGAATTGCATAGAAATATTGCTAGATTGCATCTGTAAAACGTGGCGGAAACTTCCTCCGGGGTATCGGTGCTGCCGGCTTCATTACCTGGTCCTGACGACCTGGAAACTTCATTTAATACAACAGAGGTTTACTCCGAGGTGGTAGCTGCTGACAGCTTCCTTATAAACACGTGATTTTACACCACAGATATGGCTTCTGGTCTGACAGTGTCCAAGACAAAATATTTTCTCACAGTTATTACTTCGACAGACTTCGCCTTGGTATGATTCCCTGATATGTGAATACAATCTGAATCCAAAATAAATATTAAATATTTATAAAGTTTACTCCCGTATAAATTATCTAATGTCCGATGAGTTGTAGTGTGTTGGTGAAGGCGTTGCTTCTTGCTGTCTCCGTGGGGACTCTTCTCTGTGAACATTCAGATCAAAATAAACCCAGCGCCTGAACGTCCTCCCCACTGAGAAGCACGGACTCTCTGTCATGATGTCTGACTCCAAAGTGTCGCGTCCAGGGGGTTTTCCGAGACGGGACCGGACTTCACAGGAGGCCGCCGGCCTGGAGCACGCTCGCGTCTGCCCTCCGGTGGATGCGCTGGTGGCTGTTGAAGGCCGATCGGTGGTGGAACTTCTTCCCGCACTCGCCGCACGCGTAGGGCTTCTCGCCCGAGTGAGTCCTGTGGTGCACGGTGAGGTACGACTTCTGAGAGAAGACCTTCCCGCACTCGTTGCACTCGTAGGGCTTCTCGCCCGAGTGGCTCCTGTAGTGCACGGTGAGGTTGGACATGCGGGAGAAGACCTTCCCGCACTTGCTGCACGCGTAGGGCTTCTCGCCCGAGTGGATGCGGTGGTGGATGGTGAGGTACGACTTCTGGGAGAAGAACTTGCCGCACTCGTAGCACTCGTAGGGCTTCTCGCCCGTGTGCACCCTCTGGTGCCGGAAGAGGGAGGAGTTGTGGGAGAAGGTCTTCCCGCACTCGGGGCAGCCGTAGGGCTTCTCCTCCGAGTGGCTTCGGTAGTGCGCGGTGTAGTACGACACATCCGAGAACGGCTTCCCACACACGTTGCACTCGTAGGCCTTCTCTCCTCCCGGCAGCGGCGGGTGCCCGTCCAGGGCCGAGCCCCCAAGGAAGGGCTTCCCGCACTCGCCGCAGGCACAGGGGTCCTCCCCTGCGGGGCTCGCGCGGCGGGCGGCCAGGCAGCCGAACAGCGGGGACTCCCCGCACTCGCTGCACTCGCGGGCCTTCTCCTCCGTGTGCACTTTGCGGTGGCGGATGAAGGCCGAGTTCAGGTTGAAGGTCTTGCCGCACTCGTGGCACTCGTAGGGCTTCTCCTCCAGATGGCTTCGGTAGTGGATGGTGAGGTACGACACCCGCGAGAAGAACTTCCCGCACTCGCTGCACTGGTAGGGCTTCTCGCCCGTGTGCGTGCGCTGGTGCGTGATGAGGGTGGACTTGCGGTAGTAGGACTTCCCACACTCGTCACACTGATACAGCTTCTCCCCCGTGTGCGTCCTCTGGTGGTCGCTGAGGGCCGACCTGCGGGAGAAGGACTTCCCACACTCGCCGCAGGGGTAGGGCCGCTCCCCCGAGTGGTTCCTCTGGTGCAGGGTGAGGTGCGTCTTCTGGCAGAAGGTCTTCCCGCACTCGCCGCACTCGTAGGGCTTCTCGCCCGAGTGCGTCCTCAGGTGCTGGGTGAGGTGCAGCTTCTGGCAGAAGGTCTTGCCGCACTCGCTGCACTTGTAGGGCTTCTCCTGCAGGTGCGACCTCCGGTGCACGGTGAGCGTGCCCTTCTGGCTGAAGGACTTCCCGCACACGGTGCACTCGTAGGGCTTCTCCCCGGTGTGGGCCCTCTGATGGATGATGAACTTGGACTTCTTACAGAAGGACTTCCCGCACTCGCTGCACTCGAAGGGCTTCAGTTCCACCTGGGGCCTCTGGTAGGCGCTGAAACCGGACAGCGGGAGGAAGTCTGGCCCGGCGTCGCCCCACGCGTAGGGCTTCTCCCCGACGTAAGCGCCCGCACGGGCCATGAAAACAGCGTCTCTGTCCAAGGCGTCCATGCACTCGTTATAGTCGAAGGGTTTCTCTGAAATGTCCGTTTTCCGAAGAGCACTTTCTTCACTTTGAGGACAGCCCCCCCCGTTTGGATGAGACGCCCGGGCTTGCTCCCCACGGCACGTCTCCCCGCATCCGCCGCACCCGCCCCGGCTCTGTCTGGCGTAGCTCCCGTCGCTAGTGATTAGCTCCGCCCTCGGCTCGGCAGCTTTTCCGCAGGAGACGCAGTCGCGGGACGCGCCGGCAGGCGCAGGGCTTGCCTCTGCGCTGCAAGTTGTGTCGAACACGCTCTCTCCCTCTCCGGTCATGGTCCTGCCACTGACACAAGCTGCTCGCCCCGAATGGTCGTCCTCACTTTCTCGGGTTCTGTCTAACACGTCGTCGGCTTTCCAGCTTCCCTCTGAAAAGGAATGAGGGGAAATGAACCGCGTGAGTCTGAACACACTGGCTACACACGGGAGCGGTTCTGAGGGCCCTGCTGTGGGGCGGACTCTGGCGTCCATGCCAGCCTCACAGACAAGGAATGCAGAGCCTTCTTTCCCCCTTGAGGGTCATGTCAGACAGACACACACACACACGTACACAGCGGTGGGGCGGGGGGCACGGGGGCGGGATGAGAGCGGGACCGGACTCAGCATTAGTGGACAAAGGGGGAATAGGTTCACACTGAACACGAGTGCCTGTGTTACTTTACAAACACGTGGAAGGCTCTGGCAGAAAAGGTCAAACGAACACAAGAAAGGAAGAGCAGAGGACAAAGTCCTGGGACGAGTGCCAGATGCGGGCGGGGATCGGAGGACCCCGAGCGGACGGGGTCCGTGGGAGAAGAACAAGAAGCACCAGATGGATATTCAAAGGGAACGTTCAAGTTTGAATTGCATTTGGGAAAAAGAGATTACAGCTTATATTAAATGGAATCAGATCACTTCATAACAAGATCACCATAGTAACTTCTTCACTAGTATAAATCCTCCCAAAGTCGTGGCCACTCTGTTCTGCACAGAAATCCAAATAAACACTCCAACAGCCCCCTTTTCCCTCGCACGCAGAGAGAGCCCTACGACCAGGGCCCCGCCTGCCCAGCCCTGACCATGCTCCCGGGGAGGAGAGTGTCCAGGGAGCCTGCGTCCCCAAGACGCAGGGCCAGACGGCAGGGAAGCTCTCCAAGGAGCTCACCCCTTGCCCTGGCCGCGTGGCTCCCCACTCTCTGAGGGACCCACAGTCTCATTCCACGCTCCCTGGACTTGCTCGCACAGCCCAGCACAGTAGCTGGGGGGAGAGGGGGGCGGGGCTGAATTCCGACTCCAACACGTGACACGCCGGGGGACACTGGGCCAGTGACTGAGCTGTGATGCAGTCTCACTCACCTGGACTGTGGGCCACGGTGCCTGGGGCCCCGGGCTGGGCACAGACTGGCCCAATTAGCCCATGCCGTCTGCTTAGGACGCTCTGACAAGGCAGAGGCTCGTCCTGCTTCGTCACTCACTTCCTTCCAGCTTTCTGACTTAAATGTCCGCAGACCGGCCCCACGTCTGACACGACACTGTCACTGAACTCTGAATACAAGCAAGAGTCCCACACGCCCGGACTTCATTTGGTGTAAGACCCTAAATATCAGGACACCACAGGTGGCCCTAAAACACTAACTTTTCTCCAGCAAGAGGACAGATTTCTCGATTCTCTCATCTCTCATTATCACTACCTGCTCTCATCCACGCTCAGTGCAACGCTGACCATTCTGTGCTCCAAAATCTACACCCCCGAGCCCCCAAAGCCCCAAGTACCAACAGAAAACCCCGCAAGCAGACAGACCTCACCAGTGAGACTTTTCAGAACCTGGACCCACAGTGCACGTTCCAACCAGCGCCAGACTAGCCCCCACAGACGCCCGCTGCTCCGGGGGCCTGGGCTCCTGCCCCGGCCATGAGTCTGCGCTCAAGTTCCTGTCCTCGCAACCTGTCCCTGCAGTGGATGGAGGGACGGGCCCAGAACTGCTGATCGGAGAAGGGAAGAAGGGCGCAGGCACCCGTCAGGGAACACAGTCCCCTGGACCGCAGGTTAGAGGTGGCGGGTATCGAGGTGCATCAGCAGCAGGCATGCAAATGAGGCCCTAAAGGCTGAGACCAGACGGTCCCTTTCAAGGGGCCCACAGCGACGTGAAGAAGTGGACAGCAGGTCCCAGGGGCAGCACCCTGCGGAAGGCCAGAGAATGAACCGGACCCCCGATGAGACAGACTCGTCCAAGACATCTGCTGTGACTCGAGACAGCACAGACAGACATTCTGCCTTCGGGGACCAGAGGGAGGTGCAGCCGGTGTCGAGACACCAGACAAACGGAGGACGGAGGACGCACGCAGCCGGAGGGCGGAGGCCGGCACCGCCCTGCGGAGCACACGCGCACGGGGCGGCGAGGCGGGGACGGCCTCACACCTTTGGGAGGGGACGAGCTGTCGGCATCTGAGTGCCCAGGGCAGGGACAGGAACTGGGGGCAGAAAAGGAGCCTGGGGCATTTCTCAGCAAGGAAGGAAGGAAGATGGAAAACAGAGAGAACATTTCCTGCCGGCCTTTCGAGTGCCTGGAAACAAAGGAGTTCCGTGAAAACGCGGAGGCTGGTCACTGCGCATGCACGGCCAGGGCAGGGACTGTGAGACGGACCGTCCCCGCAGGTGGCGGGAGACCACGGGGAGGCTGCGGCCACGTGCTGGACAGCGAGTGCGGCCGGGACTCGGAGCCCCGAGGCACACGGGTACTGGGGGTCTCGCCCAGAGGGCTGAGGACCGTTTCTAAAACTGCGACATCCCACTAACTTACCTGGACAGCTCTGGCACGGGAAGTCACCTTCTGCCACCCACGGCTCCTCCCCCTGCTCCAGCCTGACGATCACACGGGGCTTGGTGCTGTCGTACCCTGTGCGTGGGAAACGGAGCCGGGCTCGGGCCAGCCGCTTGGCTCCCGAGTCTCCGCGCGGGAGGGGCTGCTCGGAGGCTGCGCCTTAGCAACACTTTATCGCCACGAGGACCTTACCAACACCAGGACTTTGGCGGAGAAGCAGAGATGCAAACACCACCCGGTACCCACAAGGGATCCCACGGGCTTATCCCTCGTTTCCTCCAAGTCGAGAAGCCCCCGCGGAGCACAGCCCCGGGCGCCCGCCCGCTCACCCACGGAGACCAGGTGGCTGTAGTTCTCCAGCATCACGTCCCGGTAGGTGGTCTTCTCCACGGGGTCCAGCTGCTGCCACTCCTCCTGGGTGAAGTCCACGGCCACGTCCCTGAACGACACTGGCTCCTGCAACGGCAGCGTGGTCGGGACTGGGGGACGGGGACAGGGCGTCCGGGGACAGGAGCTTACTGAGCTCAGGGGTGAAGTCAGCCCAGTCACCTTTCACACTACAAGCTGCAGAAGGAAAATTAATCGTACAGGAACGCGTGGGCTTTGACTTCTCCCTCTGTCAAAAAATAAGATAAACTAACAAAACCCTCAGACCACGAAGAAACCATTTTCCGGTTTCACGACGGAAGCACCTGAGTTGGGACCCCAGATGAGTGTGGCTTCATTCCTGCCCTCCAGAGGCTGGGCCCCAGTGAGCAGACGCCAGGTAAACGCACAAGCTGTTTATCGCCGGTCGCGATCTTCGGCCGCCTCCGCTGGGGCCTGCCCTTCCCCGCCCGGTGCTGGTGCCTAGGGCCAGGTGCCCGCGGGCGGGTGAACGAGTCGGAGAAAGGCGGCACACGCTCACAGTGGAACGCATTCTGCCTTAAAAAAAGGAAATTTCGACAGATGCCACACACGGGTGAACTGGAGGACGTGGTGCTGAGTGAAATAAGCCGGCTGCAAGGAGACACACGCCGTACGGTTCCGTCTGCACGAGGCACTTAGAGGAGTCGCAGCCCTGGACCTGGGGAGGGCAACCGGGCGGCCGGGGGGGGGGGGGCGGGGAAGAAATGCACAGGGGCAGGGTCTCCGCTCTGCTGCCTGAGATGCTTTCTGGACACGCTGGCGGGGACGGCCGCCGGACACGAGTGTACTTAAAGCCGCTGAGCAGCAGCATTCAAGGGTGTTTGAGACAGCAAAGTCGGCGTCAGGCATACTTTTCCACAATAAAAAAATGGGGGAAAAGGAAGTGACCGCAATCCAATTACATACACCCCTGCCGTCCCCTTCTGCAGCCAGCGCCTCCGTCAGGGGGAGGGGCACACGGGGCCACCCCAGCAGTGCGCTCACTGCGTCTCCAGCAACTTCTCCCGGAAATGGGAGTCAAAAAGCCAAGAATCGTCAGCTGAGGACAACGGCAGAAATAAAAGATATGCATCAAGATGAACAACCCCAGCAACAATAAAATCAAATCCATAAAAGAAACTTACTTTTTTTGTATTAATTGATATTTTTTAAATATATGAAGCAGGATATTGCCTCCATAAAATGTGACCACTCTGCTCAGAAACAGCCACCAGAGCATACTTCAGAACTAAAGACTGGATTATGAGGTTGTATTAAGAAAGCCAGATCCAGCAGACCTGACCCTTTCCGGAGCACAGACCGCGGAGGAGGAACCGCAGGAAGTACAAACGGCAGAGGCGAACACGGTGCCAGAGTGGAAGGCTCATGTCGGCCCTCCAGCACCAGGGGCATGTAACACGCAAAGGAGAACACGGGAAAAAAAACACAGAGACCCAGCAACCTCCTGATACGATATTCAAAAGGATAGAAAAAAACCCAAAAAAGTCACAGAGAAGAAAAACACACCAGACCCTCGGTCACCGACACGGTTTCTCATGGGGACCACCGCTTTTGAAAGGAGAGGGACTGGCAACCTGGAACTCTCACCCAGCCAAACCAGCATGTACGCCCGGTGACACGCACCGACACAGGCCCGCGGCGGGCCCCCAGCCGACGGAGCAGAGCAGGACGCGCAGGCTGTTCCGCGGCCAAGGCGAGGGAGCTATCGAATCACCGGGCGGAGGCAACGGCCTTCTGCCTGAAGTGAGTCCAGAAGGCAAGGAGTGGGAGGGCTTACTCAGTGAGTAAGATTCCACACCCCCATCACGTATGTCAACACAAACACCCAACATGAATCCAATACCAGACTGGAGAGATCCCAGGTAACAGCTAAGTGGGACTTACACCAAGGAAACAGAAGAGTTTGCTATTTGCCAACCTACTAATATGATATGACATTAGAATACAGCCAAGAAGCAAAAGCTTGTATCTCCAAGATGCTGAAAAGCCTATGGCAATATGCAAAATGCATACTGCATTTAAAGAAGAAAATCTTCAAGAAAATAGGAATGACTGATACTCCACTAACATGAATGTGTGTACATATTTACACACAAACTCTTACACTAACGTGCATAGTATGTGTGATATACACATGCAACCAACATATGCACATATGTATCTCAGTCACACACAAGCACATAAGTAGACTTGTTAAATTCACACACACACACACACACACACACATGCTCGCACGCGTGTAGATATTCATGCTTCAGTCCTCTCGGTTCCGAAGTCAGGATGTGACTTCCCGGGGACACACCCAGCGCTCCCCGGAGAGACAGGGGACAGGCAGGACCAGCCCCACAGCTGCTGCCGGGAGCCCCCAGCCATGGAGCCGGGAGGGGGAACTGAGACGGAGTCGAAGACAGAGGGAGCTGAGGAACTGGGGGAAGACGTAGGAACGTACAACCCCTCAAGAGAGTCATCAACCAACTGAAATGGGCTTAGCACGGACACGGTTAGCAGAGAAGGTGAAACAGTTTACAACTGTGTTCCAGACGCTGAAAAAAAGGAGCAGAGACGGAGAAGGTATTTTAAGTGAGTCACACTGAACTTCTACAGGTAAAAACTACACTATCTTCTTTAGAGGAAAATCACACTGGACCAGATGAACAGCACGGCCAGAAAACAGATCACGGACCGTGAGGACAGAGCAACAGAAGCCAGGTAAAATGAAACGCACAGAGGAAAAGGAATTAAAAGAAAAGGAAGAGCATCCCTGAGCGTTGGGACAATTTCACACAGTATAATACACAGGTAGAAGAAGTCACTCAATGGGGAGGGGTGGGGGCGGGTATTTAAAGTAATTGTCAAGTTTTTCCCAGAGTTGATGAAACCATAATCGCACAGATCCAAGAGCTGAATGACCCCCGAGCACAGAAACATGAAAAGACCAACATCAAGACATATCACAATCGAACTGCTCAGCACCAGTGATAAAGAGAAAAGCACCAGAAATGGTTACTACCGGTATGTGTTTTCTCTTATCACTTACACCTCTTAAGACTGATTTGAGGGGGGGAGGGGAGGGGAGGGGAGAGGCAGAGAAACACCCAAACACCCAGTTGTTGGTCCGTTCACTCACGGTCGATTCCTGTCTGTGCCCTGACCGGGATGAACCTGCAACTTCGGGGTACAGGGGACGAGCTCTAACCAGCTGAGCTGCCCGGCCAGGGCTACTTAGGTCTCTTGAACAGGTAACTGTTTAATTAAAACCACAGCGTGTCCTGGGATGGACACCGCCTGCACCAGGGAAAGGCCACGGCAGGGTGCAGACCAAGGGCGGACAAAGGGAAGGCAACCGTGAGCTGCTTCTGCTCCACGTGAAATGGTGTATTACCTGGAGATCAAGTCGCATACTCTAAACCCCAAAGCAACCACCAAAGTAACAGACCAGTGTGACAGGTAACAACCCAACAAGTGATACAAAGTGGAATCATAAAAAATACTCAACTAATTGAAACGAAGGAAGACAAACCCTGGCCGGGACCATCCCCAGGGGCTGCGCACCCGTCAGCGGACTCCCGGCGGCGGAGCGCACGGCCGGTGGAAGGCCCGCCTTGTATGCTGACCCGCCCCAGGGCCTCCAGAGCCTGGCTGCGTGACTTCCGGCCCGGCCCTGCTGTCGGGACCGCCCACAAGCTGCTCGAATGCCCACAGGCACCGCTGGCTGCGGAGAGGGTTTCAAAGATCTGGACACAGTTGCCCATCTCACGGAGCAGGGCAGATGTGTGATTCATGACGCGCCACACCCGCGGAGTGGGCCGAGTAAGTGCCTGTTCCGTCCCCCTGCTCCAAAACACCCACCTAGTGAGCTGTCCTCAGACAGAGGACCTGTCAGATATCAGACTGATGAGAAGAGAGACACTACACTTGATCTTAGCCAAAAGGCCGAGAAACGACTGAGAGATTTTTTTCTTTAGAAGAGAATTCCAGCTAGTAAATGAGGAAGAAGCGGTAAAGAAGCACATCACCACCTGGCCTCCCCTAGTGAATTAGTGGGTCACGGCCACGAACACGGACCGGCAGGTGCTAACATCACCGTGCGAAGGCAAGGAGGTGACACGGGCCTCCAGGAGAAAGAAGGCGGAGCTTGCGGACAACGGTCTTGCCAGAAGGGCTGAACCTACATCTGGGTCAATGTGCAGCTCCCACTGTCAATTTCACAAGGTGTGCAAACAATGAGAAAAAAAAAAGTAAAAGTAAACTAAATGGCAATGCAATCAACACAATCCAGACTCTGTGGGACTGAGGATAAGCAACCCAGTTTCTTCAAAAAAAAAACAACAACAACAAAAAAAAACTGCAAGGAAATCACATGAATCACAAAGGGGGTGTTACTGCTCAAGACTTGGAAGACCCATCCGCCAGCGGCAATGAACGGGCTCTGCTAGTGTCCTGACCGCAAAGAAGGAACCCGTCCACAGCCGAGCCTCACTGAGCACGCCTGACCTCGTCTGAGCCAGGGAGCTACGCAGGGTCGGGCTCGGTTAGTGCTTGGAAAAGAACCAACCAAAAAAAAAAAGCAAAACCAAAAAACCAACATTCAGAAAACTGAAACTTTGAACGCCAGATGTTATATCAGAGAGAATGGTATGGTAAGTTATCCCCACCCACCGTTTGAAACTCCTTATTGTTCAAAGATATAGATAGAAATATGGGTAAATTTTTTTAAAGGCCAAGAAAAGGAAAAAATTATCAGTTTGGAAGTAACCGATGTCCAAGGCAGATGAATGGCCATGAGAGGAAAGGACCGAAAAGTGTCCACTGGATTTGACTGCACTTAGGTCACTGCTGATCTCTACCACCGGACGCAGGGAAGTGATAAGGACAAAACCAAGACCCTGAGAACGCAGGTGGGAATGGGAAGTGAGGGCACCTTTCCTGGAGAACGCTTTTCTGTCCTGTTGGCTGGCAACCAAATACACAGGCTAACAGGAGTATCTGAAGGACGAACTGGTCGCTGCCTCATGGCTTCAGTTTGATCCCTAGATTAAACAGTAAAAATGGAAACGTGTCTATTTGCATCGCGATATTTTGGTGCCTGGAAAACTCACGAGCGCCAAGTTGTCCTTGGGCAGGAGGCCCTCTGCTAACGAAAGTGAGTATAAGCCCACAGTGCAATGACTTCCTGGGTGGTTATTACAAAAGCTACCCACATTATGTCAACTTTACCAAAGAAAACTTTCCAAGTCCTGGGACACCTTTACAAGCCACAAGTAACAAAAATGGTTTCTCTTCTTATTCTATATACATCACATAATGGATGGCATTTTCCTTTTTCTACGACAGTCAAGGACATTGGTCATATTTGCAGCTCAACTTCAATAGCCCTGAAGTACCATACCACCTGTGCATGTGAAGTTGACAGATTCTTGGTGCTGATCTAACACTGTCAAAACTGCATTTTAGCCCTGGCGGGTGTGCCTCAGTGATTGAGTGCCAGCCTGGGAACCAAAGGGCCGCAGGAGCAATTCCCAGCCAGGACACATGCCTGGGTTGCAGGCCAGGTTCCCAGTCGGGGGACACTCAAGAGGCAACCACACATGGATGTTTCTCTCTCTCTTTCTCCCTCCCTTCCCCTCTCTGAAAATAAATAAATAAAATATATTTTTAAAAAACTAAACTGCACTTTACATGTCTTTTATGCATTTCCGTGTTCCTACTTACGGATACTTATAAACCTCTTAACCCACACTACAAAGCCAACAGAGACAACTCACCTGGAATTCACGCATCTTTCTGCTGCTCTTGGAAAAGTGTAGAGCTTGTTCACACTGGACCTAGGAGAGAAGCAAGTAACCAAAGTCACGAATAACCAGGCCTGCTGAGGCAAGAACCTCTTGTGTAAAAGCCACTAAACAAAGTTCAAGAAAATGACATTGCGTGAACACTCAGAAGGGGTGAAGAGAGTGACAGAGGAGAACACACATGGGCGCCAAAAGAGTCAGAGGTCATTAGGTTACTGTTGCTGGGGAACAGAAACACTGACTCCTTTTTCAAGTAGTTGGTCTCCATTAAATAAAAGGTGGGAAAAAGTCCCTTTATACAGCTTACACAATTCCTTACTGCTCCTTTCAACTCCTAAAAGTCAAAGGGTCCATGGGAACATAGAATATGAGCTCTCAAAAACGGGACAGATGTACATCAAGGCATGGTTTTGTTTATCCTACTACACTTGATTAGTGCTGCACTTAATCTCTTACTAAGAAAACAGTAATAAAGTGGGGCCAACACCTGGCCTGGGAGTCTCGGTCCTGCCAACAATCCCACCTGCAGACAAGTCACCGCCCTTTCAGGCCCAGTCTCTGTCACTGAGGCAGCACCACGTCCCCCTTGCAGACTCAGCCTGCGCTGCCCTGCCCTGTGTGACTGACCGCACCGGGCAGAACCAGGGGGAGTCGGCGCACACTCAGGTCAGAGGACAAAGGTCCTGATGGGCGTTCAGAGACCCGTCCGGGACTGGGACACGGGGAGGACAAGAAGCGGAGGAAGGGGTGTCGGGTGTGCACAGAGGGGACCCCGCACGTCCGCAGCCCAGGCTGACACCCTAGTCGCCCAGGAGACCGAGAAGTCACAGGTCCCAGCAGAGCGCCCACTCCCGAGCAGCCGGCCCTGAGCCCCGGCCCAGACAACGAGGACCTGCGGGAAGTGGCCAACGCTCCCTGTCGCACACTCGCGTGTCCTCGCCCGGGCGAGCCTGCTCACCGCGGCCGGGAAGACCCAGAACCGACCCGGGGCCGCAGACGCACGACCTACCCCGCGGGACTCGCTGATCTGCCCCAAGGCTCCCGAGGCTCCGGGACCCGGCTGCTCCTCCGGCGCCTCTCCCCCGGGGTCCTCGCCGCTGCTCCTCCCGAGGCCGCGTCCCCGAGGAGCCGGCTCTGGGCCTACGGGACAAACTCACTCAGGAGAACGTCCCTCCCGGGGCCTCACCGTCCCGCGCGCCTCAGCCGGGCCGCCGCGATGCAGCCCAGCCCGGACCGGACCCCGCCGCCCCCGCCGCCCAGCTCCTCGGGCCTGGCCCGCGGGCTCCGGGGTCGCCTCGGGGGTCCCCGCTCCAGAACCCTCCCGCCCGCGCGAACCCTGGCCCGCACAGCCCCGCGCCCGCTGGGTGGCGGCCCGACCGGACAGCGTCCAGCCCCGCAGACCCCGGGATCCTCGCCCAACGGAGGCCAGAGCCTGGGAACCACGGCCAGCGGTGACCTGGGCACGGACAGGAAGCGACAGCAGCGCGGCGGCAGTGCGCGTGCGCGAACACGCACGCAGCCCGAGGTGCACATGCGCACGAGGGCGCCGGAAGTCCCCCTGCCAGGACACACCGGGACAGCGGCACGAATACCAGGACTCTGTTTCCCATAAGTCCACGTGCCGTCGAGTTACCCCTAACTCGAAAGTCCTTTCCTTACTGTGAGTAACTGAGTGAAGTGAAGCGCGAGAGGAAACATATCTGTGTTGGCGGTGAGTTTCTTTTTCCCAACAAGGGGAAGGAAGGCACTGCAGACTAGTGCTCAATGATGTTATCGCAGAATTCTCTTTACTAACATTGCAATTAAATGTCACGTCTGTAAGTGTGCATGTAACACCCTTTCCTTATTTATCAGTGTCGCGTGTCGTCACTGATTCTCAGTCTTAAGCTCTTAAGGTAAGGAAAGGACTAAGTCGCCGGGACACGTGCTGCAGCGGCGACATTACAGACGGCCCTTTAATTTATGGGGAAATTGGGGTCCCGGTCAGGGCGGCAAGTTCTCCCCGCACAGCACCTCTTACCAACTGGATGACTATTAAGACGTCCCCTAACTCGACGGCACGTGGACTTATGGGAAACAGAGTCCTGGTATTCGTGCCGCTGTCCCGGTGTGTCCTGGCAGGGGGACTTCCGGCGCCCTCGTGCGCATGTGCACCTCGGGCTGCGTGCGTGTTCGCGCACGCGCACTGCCGCCGCGCTGCTGTCGCTTCCTGTCCGTGCCCAGGTCACCGCTGGCCGTGGTTCCCAGGCTCTGGCCTCCGTTGGGCGAGGATCCCGGGGTCTGCGGGGCTGGACGCTGTCCGGTCGGGCCGCCACCCAGCGGGCGCGGGGCTGTGCGGGCCAGGGTTCGCGCGGGCGGGAGGGTTCTGGAGCGGGGACCCCCGAGGCGACCCCGGAGCCCGCGGGCCAGGCCCGAGGAGCTGGGCGGCGGGGGCGGCGGGGTCCGGTCCGGGCTGGGCTGCATCGCGGCGGCCCGGCTGAGGCGCGCGGGACGGTGAGGCCCCGGGAGGGACGTTCTCCTGAGTGAGTTTGTCCCGTAGGCCCAGAGCCGGCTCCTCGGGGACGCGGCCTCGGGAGGCGCAGCGGCGAGGACCCCGGGGGAGAGGCGCCGGAGGAGCAGCCGGGTCCCGGAGCCTCGGGAGCCTTGGGGCAGATCAGCGAGTCCCGCGGGGTAGGTCGTGCGTCTGCGGCCCCGGGTCGGTTCTGGGTCTTCCCGGCCGCGGTGAGCAGGCTCGCCCGGGCGAGGACACGCGAGTGTGCGACAGGGAGCGTTGGCCACTTCCCGCAGGTCCTCGTTGTCTGGGCCGGGGGCTCAGGGCCGGCTGCTCGGGAGTGGGCGCTCTGCTGGGACCTGTGACTTCTCGGTCTCCTGGGCGACTAGGGTGTCAGCCTGGGCTGCGGACGTGCGGGGGTCCCCCTCTGTGCACACCCGACACCCCTTCCTCCGCTTCTTGTCCTCCCCGTGTCCCAGCCCCGGACGGGTCTCTGAACGCCCATCAGGACCTTTGTCCTCTGACCTGAGCGTGCGCCGACTCCCCCTGGTTCTGCCCGGTGCGGTCAGTCACACAGGGCAGGGCAGCGCAGGCTGAGTCTGCAAGGGGGACGTGGTGCTGCCTCAGTGACAGAGACTGGGCCTGAAAGGGCGGTGACTTGTCTGCAGGTGGGATTGTTGGCAGGACCGAGACTCCCAGGCCAGGTGTTGGCCCCACTTTATTACTGTTAAGTTAACGCTTATTGGTAAGGGATCCTTTGGGCAGCACACTCGAGTTGATACACATAAGTTAAAGACTTAGCTGTCCTTGAGTCTGTCCCTTCGCTAAGAGCATCCTGCAGGTTTTGTGACCTTAAGTTGTTAAAACAATAAGAAAGATAACTATAACAAGAGTTGTTTAATTTGATGTGTAATGATGGAGGATTCTTTCAGTAGGCTTGGATGTTCATTCTCTGGTCAGAAATGCGTCCACTGAGTCACCACGTAACCATGTCGGAGTTCAGGATGTGCAAGTGGATGCTCCCCCCTTTTCATCCTTCCAGTGTCTTCTGTAGGTTTAAAGGGACAGTCTCCCCTAGGCGTCTTTGATGGGTCTTTCTTGCTGAGTTCTTATGCAGGAAGAGCACTTCCTCGGCCGGCCAGATCACGTAACTCCGTTGCTGCGTTTTCCTTCTCCAGGTCTGGCTCCACTTTCGCCGTCCACCACGGTTTTCCAAGAGCAGCAGAAGATGAGTAAATCTCTGGTGAGTTTCTCTGGTTACGTGTATATTCCCTGGTTTGTTTTATAACAGACCTTCAGAGGTGAACAGCTCCAACTCTAAAACGTGCAAGTAGACCAGATGGAGGAGGTGCCCAGGCACGTCATGGGGAGACAGAGCAGCGCCAGGCGGTCTCTGTCACATTCATGCGTGTGGACAGCAGGATCCTCCGGAGCGCTTAAAGCCAAAGGACTCGTGTGCCTCGTGCTCTTAATATTTGCAGCAAGAACGGCAAATGCCACCCATTACTTGACTCACGCCGACCAGCTACAACACTGTTCTGTCATGGGCTTTAAGATCTTGTGGACACTCCCACTGGGACGGTGACCAGCCTTCCTAAATGACAAGCCCTGAACCGCTCCCACTGGTGCCTGGCGCTCCCTGTAAGCCAAGGGCGTGCTGCCCAGGAACGCTCAGTGCACATCACTGCCAGTGACTGAAACGTCGTTGTCCCATAGACATGCTGTCTTCACTGCCTGACCGGCGGTGAAACGAGGACCATCTGGAGCAGCGGCCCTCTCACCCCTCAGACCAGTCCCCAAGTGCCTCTCCGGTCGTCTGTCGCGGGGCTGCACAGCAGACCGGGCGGGGACACTCTGGCACAGGTCCCGCATCTCCCACTCGGGTTTTGTCCTGCAGCCTGCAGCGGGGCCCTGTCCCTGCCCCGCCCTGAACCTGACCCGGGGAAGGGCCCCCGAGGTCTGCAATGGCACTGCTGCCGCCTTGCCCGTCTGCAGTCTCCTGGTCGCCTTCTGTGATCAGGTCTTCCCTCGGACGTGAGCCTAAGAGGCAATTCTTTCCCTCAGGGAGCCTGCATTCTCCTTAGAGGAGGCGACTCAGAAGTAACTGGGAGCTCAGGGGACCCCCGCCCCCCAGCTGCCAGTACCCGGGAAGCTCTGCCGTGTGGCGAGCACAGGCTGGCTGTGGCTGTCCTGGCTCCGAGTGGCCCAGCCACTCAGTGGGTGGGGCAGTTTGTGACGGTGACGGCCCTGAGAGGAGCGGGACCTCAGTGGCAGCAGAGGCTGGCGAGGTGCTCAGACGGAGGACGGTGTGAGGGCACTGACCGGCTGCTGCAGTGCCAGGAAGAGTCTTTGCTTCCTCCGGACGAGGGCCTGCTGGGAGGGCGGTGCAGTGGGGCGGCCGTGAACGCCGCCAGTGCTGTTCCCACGTGGGTTTTGTGCTGCAGAGATTCTGAAATGTCTTTGCTGGCGGTGGGTGGGAGGAGGAATTCGCTGGTCCGGTGATTCTTTTGTTTCCGTCTGTTCGTCGTCTTCCCCTCCCTGGCTCGGGAGCGCCACAGCAGTCGCTTTCTTCGGACCGGCCACGCAGGTGGCGTGCTGGCTGCTGGCTGCTGGCTGCTGACTCTGGAGCTTTGCGTGTCCGAGACTGTCTTTCTTCCTCCCGATGTGGAGGAGGCCTCTGTGGCTGGCTCGGGGGTCCTGGGACTGCGGTCTTCGGCCCAGCAGCTCCCGCTGTTCCCTGTGCGGCCCGTGACACCTCTGACAGCAGAGCCCATGGCTCACGCTCTCCTGGGTCTTTGTCACTGACCATCTCTGGGGGCTGCTCTTTCTCTCGGTCACAGAGCATTCTCCCTCCCACGTGCGACGCTCTGGCTCGTGCATAAACATCTAGAGGGTTCCGCTGCCGAGGTCGCAGAGCCGTCACTGGACGGTCAGTCTGCTGAGGGGTCTTCACAGCACACTGTCAGGCGCTGTTCCCGTTCCGTTTGTAACTGACCTAAAACCCCCGAATGTCTGCGGTTCGTCTCGGTCTCCCGATCGGTTATCCAGGTTTTCTGAAGCCCCACTTTCTCGAAGCTGCTTGTTTTCAGCCCGGAGAAAAATAGTGCGGTTTCCCCTCCCCTTACGCCGGGAAGTGCTCTTGGGCCAGCTGTCGCCGTGTCACCAAATGTCATGTGGAACACCCGCAGCACCGCCGTTTCCAAGCAGCCGCAGCGCACAGACACAAGCGGGCACCGAGGGTTCCGGTGGGGGGGCCCCGGGCAGACCGGCCGAGGGCCGACTGCGCAGTAACACTCCAAACGGGGCTGGATGCTGCCTGGCTCCCTTGTCGCTGTGGCGAGCACTGCAGGCTGGCGCTTTCTGGGAGCCGTCAGAGGACCGGGAGTGGACAGGAGCAGCAGCATTTGAGTTTCGGGCACATTGAGTTTGGGACCTGGGACCTGTGTGCCTGGAGTATAAGAGAGGAGTCCAGGCTGGCAGTATGGATTTGTGCGGCGTCAATATTGCGATGGTGGTTAAAGCCAGGAGGCCAGATGGGGCCACCATCAGAGCGGTGGGTGCGGACGGCAGAGTAGCGGGCGAGAATGGAGCCCAGGGCCCCTCGCTGGGGGTGGTGCGGACTAGAGGGGCCGGTGAAGGCGCCTGAGCAGGGGCAAAACCAGCACTGCCCGGGTTCTGGGAGCAAAGGAGCGGAGTGTGCCCTGTGCTCCCACGAGTGCCCCCCAGGCCTGCGCCTGCCAGCCTGCGCCCCCACAGCCGGCGCTGTCCTGGCTCACCGTGCTCGGCCGCACGTTCTTTCCAGTGTGAGCTGGACGAGCCCCTTCCCGTGTCTGTCTGACAGCTGGGGTTCCTCCCACAACCCGCGACACGACGGGCATACGATGTCCGTGGTTGACATCACCTGTGAGCTCGGCCAGCCCGGTCCCCGGACACCTTCTGTGCATCATCCGGTTCCCTTCACGCTGCCGTTGCAGGGGCCAGTGTTGTTCAGGGACGTGGCCGTGGACTTCACCCAGGAGGAGTGGCAGCAGCTGGACCCCGAGCAGAAGACCACCTACCGGGACGTGATGCTGGAGAACTACAGCCACCTGGTCTCCGTGGGTGAGCGGGGCGGGCGGGGCGGGCGCCCGGGGCTGCTGGGTGAAGGGGACTTCCCTCCCGTTCGCTGGCTGTGAGTCACGTGCTCTGGGCCCCAGGCAGCCCACTCTGGTCTGCTCCCCGGTGAGTGGTCCTCAGCTTGACACAACCTGGCCCAGGTGTGCACTGGGGCTGTGCAGCCCGTCGGGCAGACTGGGCTGAGACGGAAGTGCTCGGAAGCCCAGCAGCCGGGCCCACGGTCCCTTTATTTCTGTTCCCAGGGTGCCACGCCGTCAAACCGGAAGTCATCGTCAAGCTGGAGCAAGGGGAAGAGCCGTGGGTGGAAGGGGAGCTCCCGCCCCCGAGGTGGCCAGGTGCGTCGGCGGGGGCGCCGAGGAGCCGGGCGGTGACTGGCGGTGCTTTCCCAGGGATTGTGGTGGCCCCCGACCTCCAGAAGCGACTGCAGGGCTGCTGCCCCAGCCACGCGGGGGTGCGGGTGTCCGTGTGCTCGGCACTGCTGTGTGGGGTCTACAGAGACAGAGCCAACTAGTCTGGGAGGACCGGGACTGGCCACAATGCTGCCACAGACCCCTGAGTGCGAGGGGACAGTGCCTCGGGCTGTCGCGTCCCCCAGGTGACAGGAGGCGACACTGGAAAGCTCTGCTTGTCCTCCTCCAGAGCAGGTCCGTCCTTGGAGCGGTCTTACGACCTCCCTGTCCCCAGCTGTCCTTGTTGGCTGTCACTCGTCCCCACTGGTGGGAAGTGCTCTCACGTCTGGCATTCAGTGGGCGTCCTGTCTTCCGATCACTGCTCTGGGTTTCTCTTCCACCTCCTACGTCCAGGTTGAACGGGGCCTAACAGAGCAGTAAAGATCACGGGTGCTCGTGTTCTTGTCAGTCCACTTCCCCTCTCGTCACCACAGGAGACTGTGTGTGGGTGTGCGTGTGTGTGTGTGTGCACGCGTGTGATTCCGGACCAAAGAATGAGGGGGGGAGGATGCGTGGAATTCTTTCCATCTGTGGAGCCAGCACCTGGGCCGCAGGGAAATGCTTGTGTGTGTCTCACTCCGTATCTTGTGTGGGGAGATGACCAAATCTGGTTAATTTTGCCCTCTCTTAGACGTCCGGAAAGTTGACGCGACAGAGACGGCCCAGGGAAGCGAAGACACACGTCGGAGGCAGACCGTCCCCGCTGCCGCCGAGACCCCGGCTGAAGAAGGAGTCGCCCTTCTTGCTAAGGCCTTGCGTGTGGAGACGAGCCCTGCTCCTTCGAGGAAAGTGCCCTGCACGTGCGACTCGTGCGGGAAGACCCTGAAGCCCGCCCCCGCGTACATCAGCAGCGACGGGAGCTACGCCAGGACGAGGCCCGGCGCCTGCAGTGCGTGCGGGGGGTCGCCTCTGCACGTGAAGCTGGAGCAGGTGCGCGCCGGGGCGAAGGCGTATGGGTTTAATCAGGACGGGGAAGCCTATACTCTAGATGGGGAGAGCATTTACCAGAACATGCGTGCTTTGGAGAAGCCTTTCGAATACGTCGGATGCCAGAAAGCCTTCCCGGAGGAGGCGGTGTTCGCCGCCCCGATGGCGGAGAAGCCCTACAAGTGGGACGGGCCGGGAATGGCCTTCCTCCAGGTGTCGGGCCTGCGCGCCCACCCCGCGTCCCACGTGGACATGAAGCCCTACGAGTGCGGCGCCTGCGGGAAGTCCTTCTGTAAGAAGTCCAAGTTCATCATCCACCAGCGCACGCACACGGGGGAGAAGCCCTACGAGTGCAGCCAGTGCGGGAAGTCCTTCTGCCAGAAGGGCACGCTCACCGTGCACCAGCGCACACACACCGGCGAGAAGCCCTACGAGTGCAGCGAGTGCGGCAAGACCTTCTACCAGAAGCTGCACCTCATCCAGCACCAGCGCACGCACTCGGGCGAGAAGCCCTACGAGTGCGGCTACTGCGGCAAGGCCTTCTGCCAGAAGACGCACCTCACCCAGCACCAGCGCACGCACTCTGGGGAGCGGCCCTACGTCTGCCACGACTGCGGGAAGACCTTCTCCCAGAAGTCCGCGCTCAACGACCACCACAAGATCCACACGGGCGTGAAGCTCTACAAGTGCGCCGAGTGCGGCAAGTGCTTCTGCCGCAAGTCCACCCTCACCACGCACCAGCGCACGCACACAGGCGAGAAGCCCTACGAGTGCAACGAGTGCGGGAAGTTCTTCTCACGCCTGTCGTACCTCACCGTCCACTACCGCACGCACTCGGGCGAGAAGCCCTACGCGTGCGGCGAGTGCGGCAAGACCTTCTACCTGAACTCGGCGCTCATGCGGCACCGCAGGGTGCACACGGGCGAGAAGCCCTACGAGTGCAGCGAGTGCGGGAAGCTGTTCTCGCAGCTCTCCTACCTCACCATCCACCACCGCACGCACTCGGGCGTCAAGCCCTACGCCTGCGGCGAGTGCGGCAAGACCTTCTACCAGAACTCGGCGCTCTGCCGGCACCGCAGGATCCACAAGGGCGAGAAGCCCTACGAGTGCTGCGTGTGCGGCAAGTTCTTCTCACAGATGTCCTACCTCACCATCCACCACCGCATCCACTCGGGCGAGAAGCCCTACGCGTGCGCCGAGTGCGGCAAGACCTTCTGCCAGAACTCGGCGCTGAACAGGCACCAGCGCACGCACACGGGCGAGAAGGCCTACGAGTGCTGCGTGTGCGGGAAGTTCTTCTCGCAGATGTCCTACCTCACCATCCACCACCGCATCCACTCGGGTGAGAAGCCCTTCGAGTGCGGCGAGTGCGGGAAGGCCTTCTCCCGCATGTCGTACCTCACCGTGCACCACAGGACACACTCGGGCGAGAAGCCCTACGAGTGCGGCGAGTGCGGGAAGAAGTTCTACCACAAGTCCGCCTTCAACAGCCACCAGCGCGTCCACCGGAGGGCAAGCGTGAACGTGCTCGAGGTGGGCCGGCTTCTCTGAGGTCGGGCCCCGCGTCCCGGCGGGGAGCCCGCTCAGGCGCTTGCTGCGCACGGCTCTCCTGGCGCCGGGGGGTCCAAGCTCCCGGGGGAGCGTGGGCCAGCCTCTGCGCGTGGGCCAGACGGGCGATCTGACGGTCCACAGGGCGGAGGCCACAGCTGCCACGGGGCTGCGTGACGGCTGGGCCACCACACTGCTCAGGAGTGAAGTCCACGGACACGCCGACTGTGCGTGCGCTTGTGTGGCTTGGACTGTTCCACATCAGGGAGTTCGTGCCAAAGTGGGGGTGCCTTTCTAAGGGATGTGGAGAACACTCGCCTTTGGGAATTGCGAGTACTAGAAGTTACGTTTTTGATACAATGTTTTTTTGTCAGAAAAGCACATGTGGTTAATGACTGTGCCCCCTGTGTAGCCAGAAGCTGTGGAGTCAGGGAAGCACCCAGGGCAGCAGCACAGCCGCCCTGACCTGCGTCGCACTCACCCGAGTGTTCCTGAGAACGTGTGGCTCCTCTTGCCCGCTCCTTAGGGTGGCACGTCACCGGGATTGTAGGTCCGTCCCCAGCCGTGTTCGGAAAGGCAGGGCGTCCTCACTGGAGCACTCTGTGAGACACACAGCAAGACTGCTGCTCCGAGACGGCACCACTCCGTCAGCGCCTGGTACACGCTGCCACCGCACTGGCAGAGGCACAAAGAGTGCCCCTCGTGCCCTTCCCCAGCACTTACGAATGTATTCGACCGTCAGTGACGAACTGATCCTTCCGTGCAGAACTCGGCGTTTTTCATAACAGTGCCCACGGTGCCCGGGCCAGCAAGACACAGAAGTCATGTGTAAAGTGGGCAGAAGCTGCACAGCTAATCTTGCCTCGTGACAGGCGTCTCCAGCACTGGGAAGCAACTGAAGTGTTCGTTGGCTCCATACGGTTTTAAAGTATTCCCATTTCTATCTATTTCCTTTTCTAATTTGTATCTAATCCCCCTCCCCCGTTATTATTTGGATGTCTACACAAATGTAAGTGTGCAGACCACCATACAATGTACTTAGCAGTTACCTGTATTTTTGTCAGCTACAATAGCACTTGTAGAGGTTGTGCTGTACTCCCTCCGGGTCCTGAGTGGACGGACACGTTCCCGTGGTTTGGTGGCTGGCGTTGAGTGGCCACCCTCGTCACCTGCTCCTTGCTGTCTGGTGGCAGAGTGTGGGCGGCCGTGTCTCCTTAGGTAACGGGGATAAATCCTGATCACTTTCGACCGTTAATGGAAACGCCTCTCTCGTCACCAGAGACGGAGGGGGTCACAGAACCCAGCTCTAGACACACACAAAGGAGATATCTGACAGGTCATTCCTGGAAAAGGTTTCCTCCGAGATTCAAGGGATCCTGAAGGGTGGTGTGGAGTCTGGCGTCGGACTCTTCTTGTCGGGGTGTGCTGCCCGGTGGTGTCTTCTAGCGACACGGGCCGCTGAAGCGTGACGCGGCAGGAAGGCCGGAGGGCCCTGGGGCCTGGGCGCTGCTGCTGAGACCGCGGAGCCACCCGGTGGCGTAGCCATGTCACCCCTGGACCGTTTCTCTGGTGAAAGACTACATTTATTTTTAAGCAAGTGGATATAGGTTGCTCTGTTACAGATAACTGAGGATACAAAGTTATACTTTTATAGGAGCTACACAATTGAGAAGTGGACTTTAGGCAAATCATTTATTTCAAGGTGTTGATATGGAGATTTATTTTCCACAAATTTTGATGTAAGTAGTTCGAGCATTAGAAACAATTAAGTGTGTACCGAGTCCTTGAATTGTTACATCATTGACCTGAGGACCTCTGGAACCTGATACAATCTTCCTTTTTATAAAGCATGACAAGATTTGTTTCCGTTCGTTTGTATCATTCACGCAGCATTGCTACAATCTCTGTTGACAACATACGGTGTAAGGTAAGGACCTGCTTTTGTTTGCTCTTCGGAGCCCGATGGCCTCTGTTATTTGAGTAGCTCACCCCTCGCCACTGAGATGAGCAGCCACGTTTTTCATGTATTTCCACCACCCCTGGCGCCTGTGTCGTGGCTCACGCCTTCCTCACGCTCTTCGGGGCGACTGCAGCGTGCCACGGGGCAGGACGGAGAGGTCCGGCAGGATGTAGAGTTTGGTGCGGGAGCCGTGTGTCACGGCGCGTCTGTCGGGACAGCTGCAAAGGTTTCCCACGCGCATGCATTAGTTACCACGGCTGCTCAAACCCACAGTGTGCGTCTCGAGTAAGATGTCTGGGAAGCCCCCGCGGCCGACCACAGCGTCCTCCTCTGACGGAGAGCCTGCCCGCTCGGGGCCAGCCCGGCCCCGCAGTTTGTCACCGTGTACTTATGTCTCGGTCATGGCCGGTCTCAGAGCTGACGGACGGCCGCGTTGGGAGTGTCGGACTCTTCCCTCTGAAGGCAACCGTGAGGCTGATGTGGCCCTCGGTGAAAATGAGTTTGACACCCCTGCTGCAAACTATTGAGTAAGACTAAACACTTGGTTAGGTCCACGCTGCAACTTCAGTACTTCCAAATCGGTATCGTCAAGAGGCACACAGTGTCCCTGCTAGTAACGCCACATTTGACCACCTGGTTAAGGTGAGGCACCTCATCCCTCACTGTACGGGTGCACTTGTTCCAGTTTCAGTGGCTGAGACGCTGAGGGGGATACTCAGGCACGACACCAACACCACCTCCTTGGCATAGGATCTCGCACCCACTGGCGACCTCCTTTCTTTTAAGACAAAGTTGTTTCCTTGAAAGCGTTCATGCATATAAAATATGTATATGGTTTCACTGCAGTATCAACACCTGATGTGTCAGCTGTGAGTTTTAGGTGTGTTCATATTCTTGTCGCACCCTCTGTGTTTCCCTGTGAGCCTCTGAAGCACATCTTTGATCCATAGGTCGGTGCTAAAGCACGGGACATTCGCAGGGGTCTCTCCCCCTGTACACCTCTCTGCTGTTTTGCCAGGCACGACCCAAGTTTCCCAACGGTCGTTGCATTCGTGGGGAGCCCTCCCACCTCCACCCCACGTGTGTTTTCTGGTGTCGCCGAGACCGATTTGCACAGAACGGAGTGTCCACATTACTACAGTCGTAGGTTTCTCCATGGTGCAACGCAGTTTGACTTCCTGCGGGATTTCCCACACCTGTTGCAACTCAGGGCACCCGTCCTGTGTGAGTTCCCTGACGTTCAGCGAGAGCTGAGTTTTTGCAGAAGGACTTCCCCTGTCTCTTACACGTGCAGGGCTTCTCCCCTGTGTCCGTGGGCGCACTGTGAGGGTCGACTTCATTCAGGAGGATTTCCCACCTCTCTCATGTTCGTAGGGCTCCTTCCCTGGGGGGAGTTCTCTGATGGTCAGTGAGGTTGGACTTCACACAAAAACTCTTCCCACATCCATTACGTTGGAAGGGGTTTGCGCCTGGGGGGGTTCTCTGACGGAGAGTGAGGTGGGGTTTCGTACAGAAAGAACATTCACTACATTCACAGGGTTTCTGTTCCAGGTGAGTTCTCTGATGTTTGGTCAAGGCTGACTTGGAATGACTTCCCACATGTACTCCATGCATATGGCGTCTGCCCTGTGGGTGGTCTCTGGTGTTGACCGACTGCTGACGTCAGACAGAAGGGTTTCCCACGTTCGTTACGTTTGCAGGGTTTCCCCCCCTCTGTGAGTCCTCCAGTGTGCAGTTAGGGTTGACTGAAGGCGAAAGGACTTCGGACATTTGTTACATTAATTGGGTTTCTCTCCTGAACGTGTCCTGATGACCGGTGAGGCTGGACTTCACAGAAGAGGCTTTCCCACCCTTGTGACCAGCGTGGGGCTTCTGTCCTTGTGGCCGCTCTGAGGAATATTCGGGCGCGACTTCACACAGAGTGGCTGTTCACACTCACTACGTTTAAAGAGTTTCTCCGCAGTGTTAACTCCCAGGTGCATTCTTGGGGCTGGTTTCATGTGGCAGGCTTTCCCACATTCTTGACACTCACGTGGTTTCTCCCTGGGTGAGTCTTCTGAGGGTGAGTGAAGGCCAACACTTTGTAGGCCCTCTCCCATTTATGGCATCCGTAGCGTTTCTCCCCTGTGTGTGCCCTTTGATGCACAGTGAGCGCCCAACTCATAGCGATGGGATTGCCACACTCGTTACGGGTACAGGATTTCAAACCTGTGTGAGTGTTCTGATGTTTCAGTGACATCTGACCTCACACAGAAGGTTCTCCCACATTCACAACATTCATAGGGTTTCCCCCCTGCATGAGACACGTGGTGCGTGACTAGGGCTGACTCAGGGCAGCAGGATTTCCCACACTCAGTACATTTACACGGTTTCTCTTCTGGATGTTGCCCCTGGTGGACATACAGGGCTGACTTACCAGAGAAGGATTTCCCACACTCGTTACATCCATAGGGTGTCTCCCCTGTGTGTGCCCTCTGCTGTGTAGTTGGGTTGGAAGACACACAGGAGGATTTCCCACACTCCGTATGCTCATATGGTTTCTCCCCACTGTGTGTTCTCTGATGACGACTCAAGTTTGACTTTGCACAGGAGGCTTCCCCACACTCGCTACCTCGATAGGGCTCCCCTCAGTGGGAGGTCTCGGCTGGACTTCCAGGGCTGAGCATGTCTAAAAGATTCACAGTCATCAGACACGTAAAGCCATCAGGACTTGGTTCTCTGCTGATCAGTTAGGGCTGCCTTCACAGGGCTTTGTCATGGTCACGGGGCTCCTCTCCTGGGTGACTGCTCTGAGGGTCCGTGGGCTGTGATTTCTGGAAGGGTTTCCCACATTGACTGCTTTCACACGGCTCCTCTCTTACATGTGTTTTCTGACATTGAGTGAGGTGGGACTCCCGGTTAAAAGATTCCTCATAGTGACTACATTCCAAGGTTTTCTCTCCAGGGTGGGTTTTCTGAGGTTGAAATTATTCTCCTTTCCATTAGATGCATGGTTTTTCTCCTCCCTGTTCACTTCTTGATGTTTAACGAGGGCTGACTTCTCACACTCATGAGCTTCCAAGTTCTTCTTCCTCGTGTGCATTTCCTGATGGACTTCGAGTGTGGACTTGTCACTGGAGTGTCCCCATGTTCCTTACAATCGTAGGGTTTCTCTTCTGTCTGAGCCCTCCTCGGGGCAAGGATGGCTGCTGGATTAAAGACGCCTTCACACCCATGACCCTCAAATGATGGTCCCAGCATTTGAATTTTCTTTTGCTCAGTAAAGTCCTCATTATGACTTAGGGATTTCTCATCTTAGTTAGAGTCATCAGATTTCTTTCCGATATGAGTGATTTCTTGCTTGTTTTTGAGAAGCAACTACCCACTTGCATTAATTTCATCACAGTCCTTTTTTTTAAATATTTTTAAAATTTTAATTGTTGTTCATTCTCTCTTTTTTAAAAGATTTTATTTATTTATTTTTTAGAGAGGGAAGGGAGGGAGAAAGAGAGAGAGAAAGAGAAACATCAATGTGCAGTTGATGGGGGTCATGGCCTGCAACCCAGGCACGTACCCTGACTGGGAATCAAACCTGCAACACTGTGGTTCACAGCCCATGCTCAATCCACTGAGCTATGCTAGCCAGGGCTTTTTAAACAAATATGTTAATTCCCTGAGAATCTTTAAAAAATATTTTATGTATTTATTTTTAGAGAGGGAAGGGAGGGAGAAAGAGAGAGAGAAAGAGAAACATCAATGTGCAGTTGATGGGGGTCATGGCCTGCAACCCAGGCATGTACCCTGGCTGGGAATCGAACCTGCGACACTTTGGTTCACAGCCCACGCTCAATCCACTGAGCTACGCCAGCCAGGGCCACAGTTCTTGCTTGAATGATTTTTATCACTAGTAATGAATGCTGAAACATTTTTCAAACAGCCCACATGAGTCATATTGACAGGATTTTTTTTTTTTTTGCAGAAATAGGATTTGTGCCCAGAGTAAATAAATGTTTTTCTGAAAACTTTATATCTCTCTTAATTGGTATTTCTTTTTAGATTTTATGTATTTATTTTTAGAGAAGAAGGGAGGAAGAGAAGGAGAGAAACATCAATGTGTGGTTGCCTCCTGCATGCTCCCACTGGGGCCCTGAAAGGGAATCAAACCAGTGACACTTTGATTCACAGGCTGGTACTTAATCCACTGAGCCACACCAGTCAGGGTTAGTGTTTGTTTCTTGATGAGTGAAGCTCACCACAAATGTTTATCTTGGTTTTCCTGGTTCCTGTCTATTTGACCATCAAACTTCCTGACTTCTAGAAATTTAAAAAATCCAGTACACTTTTAAAATGCTAACACATTTGCTATGTTAGTATAATTTATTATGTTGCTGATTCTTAATTGTCAGGCCCAAGCTCCTTGGATCAGAAAAAAAAGAAAAAGAAAATGCCTGTTATAGTGGACAAGGAAGGTAGAGCTAGCAATGAACAGATGTATATTTGCTATTTTAAAAATATGACCATTAGGCCCTGGCTGGTGTAGCTCAGTGGATTGAGCTCAAGCTGCAAACCAAAGCATTGCAGGTTTGATTCCCAGTCAGGGCACATGCCTGGGTTGCAGGCCACGGCCCCCAGCAACCGCACATTGATGTTTTTCTCTCTCTTTCTCCCTCCCTTTCCTCTCTAGAAATAAATAACTAAATAAATATGACCTTTAGACCTAAAACAAGAAGGGGAGACTAAACACAGGAAATGAACTGAGGGGAAAGCATTGTACAGAAGCTCAGATATTGGGGCAAACCCAGCAGAAGCTATGGCCAGGAAGGAGAGTGGCAGGAAGTGATGGTACATGAGTGTTCGGGAGGACCAGCACAGGACGCCTTGGGTGCGGGATAAAGCAGGTAATGTATGTATATACGGACAGAGC